GGGGGGGGGGGGGGGGGGGGGGGGGGGGGGGGGGGGGGGGGGGGATTGGGGGGATGGAGGCAGGCGGGGCGGTGTACCGGACAGCCTGATGAGCTTGAGGGAGTTTTAAAAGGCTTTATTCTGCTTTAAGTGAGAGCCTGTGCTATAGCAGCCTGTGCTCCATGCTGTGCTCCAGGCTGTGCTTTCCTCCTGAATGCAGATGCAGACCTTTCCTGCATCTCCTTCGCCCTCCGGCACAAACTCCGGGCAACATTACACTCGCTAATGACGGCTCCGAGCGGCTGCTCAGAATCCCACGGGCTCTGCAGGCAAAATCCCGGTAATGACACCCAGACTGTGTGAGCCTCATCCAGCGCGCAGAGTATCTCAGCCGAAGATAAATGGCGACGAGCGATTCACTTACGCCGATGTCATACTGCAGACTGGAAAATGACGGCAGCCTAAACTGATACAATTATTAATTCATTCACTACAGGAATCAGGCCATTTGCCAAACACATCCACAGATGACATAATTACAACAAGAGAGACAATTATTTTTGGTTAATCAGTGTGCTGTTCTTAGTTAATCATCAACAGGAAGTTAAATATGAGAGAGAGACTGACAGACGAAGAGAGTGGGTCTGTGCAAATCCATGGAAAGCCAGAAAGACTCTTTGTAGATCCTGAGGTCGAAAAGCAGAAAGCCTTCAGAAAAGGGCGGGTAACAAACACCATAAACATGAATTACGGTAAAATGAAACCGGACATACAATCCACCCTGGGTGGGACCATAGCTACAATGTTACAGCAGTTATGCCTCAGCGAATAATATGAGCTCATTACATCGCCCCGTAATGCGTAGGCTGATTCACGTCGCTGATTTATGTTACTGAATGGCCCTGCGCTGGGTAACCGCCTGGGGGGGCGTGCATGCATGGCTGGAGTTGAATGCAGCAGTATACTTAACATCGCTGCCTGGCCTCGGTGTCTGAACACCACAGGGGTACGTGTTGCTGAATGCTGTCCAAGAGGAATGACGTGCTGTCAGGGAGGGGGCCTGTCTGCCGGCCGGCTCACACGTCACATCCACACCCATCAGCCCTTTGTAACATTATACTTACAGCATAATGACAGGTTCATAAAATGTAATGCAATTTCAGTTATGATATATGAAACACAGCCCACGGCTGCCGGATGATTAATTGCCCTCTTGGATAATTTCTGGGGGGTTCGCGCCAATCCTGGAGGTGCTACTGTAACCTTGTACCTCCAGGATGGGGGTTTGAAATCCCCCCCCCCCCCCACCCACAATGTGTGTGTGCGTCTGTGAGTCATGTAAATATCACATTGTGGGGAGAGTCCCATACATACAGTCAGGAAAATTGTTTGAATTTCTTGGATGCAAGATCTATAAAAGCAGGGGCCTCTGAGCAATTAATTTCACTGCTATTCCCAATCCCTTTGTGGTCATTCAGTATTGTCAACACTGAGTGCTGTATTCTCAGATTCATATAGCAAAAGGCTAACAACCAAGAACACAGAGAGATTGTCCAGCACTGAGGTGCTCATCTAGGGGACTCCCTCTCTCCTCACCTGAGGGACTCCCTCACATCTCACCTGGGAGACTCCCTCTCTGCTCACCTGGGGGGACTCCCTCTCTCACCTGGGGGGACTCCCTCTCTGCTCACCTGGGGCACTCCCTCTCTCCTCACCTGAGGGACTCCCTCTCAGCTCACCTGGGGGACTCCCTCTCTGCTCACCTGGTGACTCTGTCTCTGCTTACCTGGGGGGACTCCCTCTCTTACCTGGGGAACTCCCTCTCTCCTCGCCTGAGGGACTCCCTCTCTGCTCACCTGGGGCACTCCCTCTCTCCTCACCTGAGAGACTCCCTCTCATCTCACCTGGAAGACTCCCTCTCTGCTCACCTGGGGGGACTCCCTCTCTGCTCACCTGGGGGACTCCCTCTCTGCTCACCTGGGAGACTCCCTCTCAGCTCACCTGGGGGACTCCCTCTCTCCTCACCTGAGGGACTCCCTCTCAGCTCACCTGGGGGACTCCCTCTCTCCTCACCTGAGGGACTCCCTCTCAGCTCACCTGGGGCACTCCCTCT